CCCCCCGAATGGAGGGTTAAAACACTTGACCAACCCCTCCTTCGGGGGGGTTGGTTGCGTTTTAAAATCTTGAGTAAGACACTAAACTCGGCATTGTTGTGTTCCACAACAATGCCGAGTTTGTTTATAGTTGACATTGTTGATGACGTAATTTATTGACGACGACGAAATCACAAATTTTTTTCTTTTAATTACGAACTGGCTTTTGAGTATTACAGATAAACGTCGGCCTTTAAAGGTTTCCAGACATCATATTTTCATATTTCACAGAAAACCATTTCGTACTTTTAAAATACAAATACGGCCTACAACATAGGATGACGTTATTTAGAAGAAAGCGTAAAATTTATTTAGAAAATCACAGAGTCACTGCTTCGATTATTAACACTGCATCACTAATTAAGAAAATATTCTAGGACATTCCATCTGTAACTGACTCTACACGTTGCATTAATACAGAAATGTAAATTTCCGAGTGGCTAGCAATACTGTTTCGTGCTCGGAAGGTTCAAATTTCGATCCGCAGATAAGCTATGATGAGTATTTCCCCTCAGTTCTCAAAGCAAATGCTAAAATAGTACTTTAAATTAGACCACGACCGTTTCCTTCCATATCCTTTCCTAATAATCAATCATCCTATGATTCGATTCTATATTCTGACCTACTGACAACGTCGTTAAATAAACCACAAACAAAAATCTTAATACTGTCTGATGACAACATAATACGAACTTATACCAGTGGCCCATTAGACGTCCACTTCACTCGCCACTTCGTCGTGATCAAACAAGGCCGAGGAAGCCCTCGGCAGGCCAATCTAGCCAACGTTCGCACTGTCGTGTTCATCAGATCTTTAACATGTCGTACTAATTGCCTTCTTCAAGGAGACTTCTATAGTTTTAATCAATACATTCTGTAAATATCATCGGGGATTTGAGTCTTAACTTTGCTTAAACCTATATTACTATCAAGAATAACAAAAAGCTATTGAACTGGTCACAGATCATGACACTAAAGATTCTAAGAACATCTCAAAACTAAACATTAATAAAAATAACGTAATTTTCCCCATTGATATAAAATTTTCATATTGTGAAATTAAAGGCAACTTTTAAACAACGTATGTATTATTGTTGGTATTTTTCTAATAGAAAACGAATCAGCATACACAATTAATCGGCTTCTGTACATATTCTGAAGCAACAGTGTTCAATTCTAGAGATGTTACAAATACCAACCTTTCCACATAAAATTCTTATCTCTATTACGTATTTATTTATTTATTTTAGCTACATAACCTAGAAAGTCACATACTGTAAGGGTCTTCAGAATCCAACGTTTGTACATTTATCAAGATAAATTCTTCTGATACACGATTTTAACCACACTTGTAGTTACTGATCATTAAACGAGACCAAACAAGTTTTCTGTTCAGTAAACAAAGAACACAGTGTAGCTTTGTTTGGATGCACGAAACAACGGATAACGTCACGGAACGACATGGTACAAACCAGCTGATTCATTCTTCCACTGAATGTTAACTTGAACTAACGTGTATCTACCTTTCTGAGAAACTGCCCTAAAAACAGATGAAAACGTAACTGTGTTCCACCGATGATTTTCTGTTTACATGTTAACTACATATTTCTGTCTCGCATATTGAAAATTTTCAAAAGCCAACAAAGTAAATTATATTTAATTCACTTCTGAAAACTGACCATTTGTATTTGATCACAACATAATAGATGTTCCCGAGAGATACAAACACACACTAAGGCGGGATATTTTCCCCCATGTAACCGCTGCATACACGTGACATGTATGCACTGTGGTGTGACGGATAACCCGAAATACTTTCAACAAATTGCGATAAGAAACATCATTTTTGATCGGTATACACATCGAGGAAATTTGCGTCAAAACTGAAAGAACTTTAACAAGACTTTACAATCCAATGGGCTTATATAACGTCAAACGGGAATATTAGTCTAACAGAACTCAAGTTTTCTGAATGACAAGTTTTTACTCAGTATTGGTATGTTTGTAAAAAAAAAATTACAAAATCCATATAAAAGTCACGTTATGGGCAGATAATCGACTCCGAAATTAAATTCACTAGCAATGGACTGAGAACACGGATATCCAACAGCAGAAATATAATAATATTCTAAGATAATACTAAAAAGTAGTACAGAGTAATTTACATTGCAGGAAAACAGTTAAAAGCTTTTGACGTCAAACATGCTACGAACAATAAATGATAGTATTATCAAATATATGAACTAGACATGGTCTTACTCACCAAAAGAGCAGTTCCAACATCGAATAAAATAATTCCTTATACCATCACGATACGAAGTAACAATCCCAAAAAACCAAATGCCCAAAAACGCTGCGATAACGTTGATGAACTTACCCCAGACGATCCCCACAAACGCACACTTGATATGGCCACGGACGTGTGCCGGCTTCTGATAGCAGGCAGCGTCGGTGTGGGTGATCACAGCTGCTACCGCCCGTCGCGACGTCACTTCCAACTCCACCTTGCGGCGTATCGCCGAACCGCCTTATAGCTAATAGCCCCGAGGGAATGAGTTCACGTACCGTAGCTCAAACTTAAGTAGGATGAACTACCTTTTTTGTCGACAATGTAAATTGTGTGAGCATGGTATGACAATAGTTTCTCGATATTATCACAGGATTAATTTAGATTTTGTCTTCCGGTCCTCTGCAGTGGGACGTCTGGTATTCTTGTAGGTGGCTGCTAACATTTCGAAAGAATCTACAACCCGATTCTTCAGGGTGGAATGTACACTAAAGCTAAATACAACGCAGAAAACTAATATCTATAATTCTAACCGCCGAGATAACCTTTAATGCCATAGAGCTTAGGTTTCCATTACGGCAAAATTTATACATGACGTTCCAATTTGTGAATCGATCATTCGATGCGGAACGTGAAATGATATTTTAAATATTTTATATTTTATTATTTGTTCAGCCCGCTCTAAACTTATACACAGGAGTGAAATATACACATGAATTCGTTGGATGAAACTTCTTTTTTGAGAAGCAGTTTGTCAGAAGTTTCTCACTGTTAACAGAAACAGAAGGTTCATTACAGTGTAGAAAAAATCCCGTCTCCAGATCATATCCGGAGCTACTTGTATCTAGTTCACACTCTCACGCCTTTTTCGTTTAAAACCTATTTTAATATTATCCTCAAGTCTACGTCTATATCTGAAAAGTAATAGCTTGTGTCAGTGATCGCTCAAACGGAATGGCTCGTGATCTGTTTTCGAAAGGCGTATATCTGGTTGTTATGTTGGGTTTTCCCCGGATCTTCCAGACGAACAGCGGTACAAAATGGTCGCTTCTGATACGCAGCTAAAAATCAGCTTCTAATTAAAAAAAAAATTACGTGTCCCAAATAAAATGAGAAATTCCCAACCAACAAGGGAATTCTCAAGTCTCAAAACAAGACGTCGGACAGTCTGGCTTTCAGCTTTGTGACAACTTTACGATGCATCGTAAAATTAGTAATGGGTATTTTGGAAAAATTGCATTTACGTAACAATTTATTACTTTGATGCGTGGGGGGGAGACATGAGTTTTTCATAAATGTAGCGTATTCAGCTCAAGGCCACTAGGGACAAGTAGTAGACAGGTGAGCTCACTGGTCGATACTGAAGACTGATATTATAGTTGACATTATTTCCTAACTTATTGCAATGAAGGGTGTCCTAACTATGGCCCAAACATTTTCCTGGATCGATAGTTTAAGGACTCACACGTGAGCTGTTTTGTAGTTAGCAGCAGAAAGGAATAGAATCCTCAAATTCAAATCACTTGCAATCGGAGACGAACCGACCTCAGTGTTTAGAAGAATAAGTATGTATTAAACACTCGAGTATATTCTAAAGCAGTGGTTCGCGTACCCCCAGATATAATTTCTCTTCAACTTTGTACCGCCAAAGTTGTTGGTGTATAATTCAAGTTATACATAGTATATAATCTACATCTAAAATAAATTAAATAAATTACATTACTGATTATTCAGTGTTTATCATAAAATAATATTTTTTTTAAATTTCACGTACCCCCTAAGATGTCTTCGCGTACCCCCAGATATAATTTCTCCTCTTCAACTTTGTACCCCCCAAAGTTGTTGGTGTATAATTCAAGTTATACATAGTATATAATCTACATCTAAAATAAATTAAATAAATTACATTACTGATTATTCAGTGTTTATCATAAAATAATATTTTTTTTAAAATTTCACGTACCCCCTAAGATGTCTTCGCGTACTCATCGCCGTAAGAACCAGAGACCTCGCGTGATACTAGGGCGGTTGTATTCAACCTGGGGCACTCGTACCTCCGGGGGTACGTGAAATTTAAAAAAAATATTATTTTATGATAAACACTGAATAATCAGTAATGTAATTTATTTAATTTATTTTAGATGTAGATTATATACTATGTATAACTTGAATTATACACCCACAACTTTGGGGGTACAAAGTTGAAGAGAAATTATATCTGGGGGTACGCGAACAAAAAAGGTTGAATACTACTGTACCAGGACACCTGCAATCGACCCTGCTTAACTGCGAAAATTCCACAGAGATGGCAGCACTACGAGCACGGATCTAAGTAGTTCTCGGGCCGTCCAGAAAGGTGGAACTGCGTGCCTGATTTGGAACGTACTTGTTTCAATTCTGCGCGTAGTGTGAATATCCATTAAAAAAAATATATAAATTGAATCTTCTTCTAGTCATATTATTTGACGGCGTCTTACGTGTTTATATGCAGACGCAAACGCATTTAATTGATTTCTGTTCAAGTAATTACCCGTTTATATTTTTCATCTCCCCTTGTGATACCATTTGTTTTTTGGTTTGTGGTATTTTGAGAACCACGCAGTGCAGTGTTCATGTTCGCCATTCAGAAAAAGAAACTCTAATTCCCGTATCGTATTTGTTTGCCTTTTAAAAATATCTTGCGTGTCTTCCTCACAGTCCATGGTTTCACGACACAAGAAAGTGTTGTTGGAAGGGGTTTCATCTCCAAGGGGGAGGGGGTTGGTTCATAGTAACAATCCACAATTTTATGAGATAATGATTCCAAAATAATTATATTAACAATAATTCTCAAAAACACTCATTTCCTACAAGGGATTCAAAACACCAAAAGCGAAATTATATCCTACAGAATGAACAATTTCGGTATATCTGAATTTGCACAAAAGTTAGACAACAATGACCCTAATAAATAAAGCATCTTTTTCCAATACAAAATAACATAAAAACAGTCTCACTAAAAAAAAAAACGTGCACCGCCCGGGAATCGAACCCGGGTCGCAAGAATGGGAATCTTGCATGATACCACTACACCAGCGGTGCGCAGCGTACACTGCCTTCAAACTACCGTATACGAATTACGGCTTTAGAAGACTGTACTGTTAAATGTTTTTACATTGCAGTTACTTAAACATCGATCAACGTAGAGATTTAAACCACAAAATTAATGTGTTTTAAAATATTAGTAAACATTCCTTCCTGCTGTCATCTTATTATCAGAATTTTTTACTATTCTCATAACTGTAACAATTATCACGTAGTCAAATCCGTGTTCAGGAAATAATCGCTATTTACTCTGAGCATCACAAAAAACCCACTAATCGCTATTTACTCTGAGAATCACACAAAACCCATACATATTCTCTGTGGACAAAATAATTACCGATTATTCAATCAGTATAGTTATCACTGAGCTTTCAATGGTTAACACTAAAGTGTCGTAAACGTCCACGTCGGGATTACATTTTTGAATTCACATTGACGCTGATATTATTGCGATATATATATATCTTTTTAAAATAAATATTTTAACGGAAATATTGACCCACTAAAGGCAGCCTGCGACCCACCGTTTTAGAAACACCACAGTTCTGACCTTGAATCTCACCTCACCTACTACAAAATCAGAGCTGCATTAAACTTAGGCTGACCTTGAAACTCAAGGTAGGCATAGTCACTTTTTCGCTTTCAAATGTATTCACTTTTCTTTTATTGTGCGTAGGGTTTTGTACCTGACAGACAACCCTCCTGCTTGCCAGCGACCGGTTAAGACTTTCCTTTCCACACTTACACGTCCAAACACATCCAACAAACGCAACCCCTTCCTGCTCCCACATACAGACTAAATTCCAAGCATTCTAAAGAACATAACATAACTTACTAGTCGCTCAGGAGAATCGTGTGAGATTTCACAAATGTCTGCTGTAGTCTCATAGGATGCAACACTTTCTAGAGGAACGTATCGCGTTTTGCTTCTACAGGATTACAAGGCGTCACCACGAGAAATCTCCAGTCTTATGGCAACGCAGAGCACTCCACTCGTCCCTAACCCAGCCAGCTGAATCCATTTCTCAGCTTCACATTCCTATTTCAGTATTGACCTCACGTCCACGTTCCAAGTCTAGCCAATAAAATTGTGTTTGCATTAAAATGTCCTCGACGAAGTTTAATTATATGCGATGTCAGGTTCTCAAGTTAGCAACTGTTGCGCCATGTATCCGTGATGCTTACCGGCGTTTCAAAGATGTTTTCTGCCCTGATTATGGAAGCAGCACGTACCCCTAAAACATCTGTAAACTTCTACCAGACTATATGGCGCAATATCCCAGAACACGGTGACCCGGATTGAACTACATTCAAACAAATTGAGCTCAGTTTTAAAAATCTGCAAACAATTTTCTTCAAAATAAAACAAGAAATTGGAAGAATATACTTTTTTTTCTGATTCATATCAGAAGTCGGCAAATCAAATCCTGAACTCAATGACCCTTGGGTATCGATGTGGTATTTATTTGAATGAGAGGCAAGTGAAAACTAGGGATTGATAACAATCACAAACATATTTGAAGAGTAATTACTGTCGACCTTTCCATAACACCGAAACATATATATAGAAACTTGGTCGCCGGTTCCTTTCAACATATAACATCCATTTACGTTCCACCGATTGGTCACATTCTTCCAAATACGACGTAGTCCTGAAAATTATTAATACTCACGGATGTCTGTGTGCAGTAATAGTTTTGTCCGAGTGACTGCAGACGAATCCTGACCTGACTTCGGTATGTAGAAAGACATGAGGACGCTGAAGAGATTGGTGGACAAATGCGTACCTAATTCATTTCACGCGTAACCTGCTAAAATTTATGCACTGTACCTGCTTTCCTTTTACTAATTATCTCTGAGCTCTTTACAAAGAACTGAAAATTAATCTTGAGGAAGAACAATTCAAGCACAAAATTGTGTCTCATTGCCCTGATGATAGAGGCAGCAGGGACCTCTGAAACGTTGGCAAACTTCCACCAGAACACACGAAGCTACAACCCAGAAGATAGCCATCTAACCTCGAAAGTGTATTTTGTGGACTCGTGT